TATCAACAACCACCAATAGGAGAGATGAATTTTTACGAACCAAGGCCCCACACTCGACCTCCGAAAATATAAAAATATCCGTGGAGCACGTCGAATCAATCCCGGGCATCGTTTGCACTATCTTGACCGTGTACTCATCAAGCTCAAGCATCGGGAGCACGGGCGTAGGCACACTAAACTCCTCCAAATGGTCACGATCCTCAATAATATGAAACGACGCCCCAAAGGACATGGAAACCACATCATACTCAACATCACAAGTCGGCTCATCAATCAACGCACACCTCGGGTCCACGACATCACATGATAGCTCGGAATCCTCCTCAACAACATCCACAAAATCATCAACTACTACATCCTCCACTTCAATATCATCCTCTCGAGCACTATCAACATCGTTAAACACAATCGAATCCTCAAATGAATTCTCTTCCATACCATACACCGTATCAACTCCCGAATCGATACACTCACTCTCAACAATAGAATCAAATCTCAAAGCACTATCACCGGAAGAGAAATTTGACGTACCTAATGTACAATGCACGGCCAAATCGTCAAAAGAGGGAATTTCATTAACAATCAAATCGTCGATGTCCTCACTCGTGTCGAGAGATTGTGTTCCATCATAAACGAGAGTGAGGCCCACCTCTTTCAAGGAGGCAAACCTATCCACCATAGCTTGAAACTCACCTTCTAATCGGGTGCTCTCTCGAATAACCCTCGCCGATAGAGAACAATATCTACCGAACGGAATGTGCAATGCGTCCAAGTCAAGAAAGGATACCACGGTAGAGTCGAACTTCTCAAGTGTAGCTTGAAGAACGGATGGAATCGGAATGCATCTCCAACTATGAAATTCCTCAATGATCGACGCGAGGCTCGCAAGTGCCTCTTGAGTGCTCGCCAAAACCTCTCAGTGACGCTCGGTAGGCACAACCGTTGATGGAATTGAAGCTTCGGTCCTCGGTGTACAAGGTTGGCCAACCGATAGGTGCTCAAGTGATGGAGAAGATGGCACATGGGACTCAGTTTCTTCTTTCTCGAATATGGGAGCCATGGAAGCGCGAAGGGATCGATTGCACTCCTCTAAATGCTCCATGATCTCGGCTAGATTGACTCGAGAAGCCTTTCGAGTCGGCTCGGGCGGAGGTATCTCTTCATAATAAATAGGAGGTGGCGGATAATAGTGAGGCGTCTCGTCGTGACCCGGAGAATAATAACCAAAATCAACTTGCGATGACGGGTAAGAAGGGCTCGGATACGGATAGGGCGGCCCTCCGTACGAGTATATCTCCTCATGATAGTTGTCGGGGCATCCACTAGATGAGCTACCGGCATAAGAATATCCGTACGGGTCCATTGGAGCTCCTCAAGAGAAATACCTCGCACAAGAAAAACAAAACAACCAAGGCACACGAGGCAAAGGAAAGAAAACACAAAACGAAACTAACACGACATGATATGTACACGAACACACAAAGCAAAAGCAAGAGAAATGGAAAATAAGCAAATAATCAAGAGAAACAAGCAAAAACAAGCAAAATCCACAAAAAGCAAGAGAAACACGGAAACAAACGACAACTAGATAGTAAACTTGGCGTCCTACTCGCCTTCCCCGGCAACGACGCCATTTTGTTGAGTAAAATTTTGGGCATGTGGTAACCGAGCTACCCGACTCGGGTCGTTCTCAAAGGAAGGCTCTTCGGAGCTTCGTTCACTACCTAGTCGTCAAAGTCACACAACCGAAAAGGTCCTAAACATTCTACTCGCAATTTGAGGGTTTGAATTTAATCTAGATTAATCTACGAAGTGAGAGCAATTGAAAGCAATTAACTAAGCACGCAAAAGATGAGAGAGATCAAGGGGGAAAGAGCGATTTTGGTTCTCCGGGGTCACTATGATCAAACACGCACAAATAACCGAACATTGTCATGCTAGCTAAAACCCTAGGAAGCTAAACCAAGCTCTAGCACAAAACGAGCAAGCATTTAACTCTTAATCACACTTAGTCAAGCATTCTTGATCCAAAGATTCAATCTTCTCCTCTAACCAACACAAGCACAATATCAACTTTCACGAAAGCAAACAAAGATATACGAAGTAATAAGGCTTAAGACTAAGTACCCACTCTTACACGCACTTGGAAGAAGAAACAGAGTCAA